CATAGTCTCATAGTCACAGTCGCAGGCCCACAACGCAGAGAACTAAAGACGAGTTTAGTCGGTGGGTCTTTGTGAGTCGGTTGGTGGGTTGCCCGGTGGATTGGTGGGTCACTGGGTGCAAAAGGGAGTGAGAGTGTGTGGCTGCAGCAACAGTGCGGGTCTATGTGGACAGCCCAGTCCCTTAGGAGTGCACTGGAAAAAATCACCTTGATTGGCAAAATACTAAGTAGTTTTTACAATTAAATTAGGTTTTCTATTTATCAAATTACCTTAAATGATTTAAAAACAGTTTTTACATTACATATATTTTTCATTTTAAATACTGTTTGTTCGTGAATCATTAAAAACCTGTAAAACCAACTACAAAAATTGCTGAATTGAAATAAATTTAAAAAAAATTATGGTATATTTCCTACAATTGAATAAATATTTATTGGTCGTAGTTGCCTTATTAAATTTTCATTATTTCAGAAAACAATGTTTTCTTGATTTTTTATGTAATAATATTAATAAAACGATTTTTAAATCTCAATATTTTTAGTTTTCTTAACAGTTTTTTGACAATTAATACAAAATAATGTAAAGATTAGGCATATCTAAAAATATACTTTTTTTAATTCAGGAAAAAAACTGTTGCCTTTTTTTTATGGCAAATTATTTGAATCTAGGAATCTGGCATTGTAATATTTATTTCTCTGCATGCGCGTGTGTATGTGCCACTACATATGTATGTCAATAAGAGTTGGGCCGCTGTCCTAGTGCCCTGCCCCGCCCCCTTTCGCTCCCTCTTTATATTTTTTTTTGCCTGGCATGTCGGTCCACATTCACAGTACTTTCACTTCCTGCCGTACATATATTTCTAAAACAATTTATTAAAAAACAAAAATACGAGTTGGGCCAGCAGAAATAAAGGCCCAAACCGAAACGAAACGAAACGTAATAAGCACATTTCTGGGGGTAGCAAAAAGTGAACTTGAATTGTAATTACCAACGCCTTTTTGCTGGCTTAAACGAGCATTTTTAATTTCCCCACAAGCACACTCACACACACACGCAGACAGCACTGGCGAAACAATTAAGCACAAAATGAGCATTAAATATATGGTGCTGCAAATTGGCCACATGCGTTGGAAGCTAGCGACTCCTCCTCCGGATGCCCGAATCTCGGCAGCCGGGTGAAAATTCATCAAAATGATTGTTTAATGAGCTCCACGACGCACAATGCTCGAGGCAAGAATTCATTTGCGAGCTGGATTTATCTTTCGCACCTTACCGAAAACCGAAAAACAGCCAGAAAACAATAACAGCGAGGCACAAAAAATTCAACAATCCCCTTTTTAATATATAAATAAACCCGTGGGTGATAAAAGCGCTAAAATACTATATAAACAGAAGATATATGTGCGTACTTGGCGGAGCTGCAAATGTATTTTGTATTGAAAGTGTTGAGGCAGGACAAGTTGCTTCTGCGAATTTAATTGTTTAAGCAATTCGATTCGTTTCGGGTTTATTTGCCTTTAAACTTGGATGGCCAATAACAGATAACGGGCATTAGAAATATTTACAAATGAATCAGCCTGCTTCGAATTAAATTCTTTCGATGTGTACAAAGTTTTTTGGGAAGAATTTAAGGTTTTAAGATTCTAAGATCCTAAGTATTATGTGCCATTTAAGCCCATTTTTCTTGGCTCATAAAGAAGCCACAAAAGCCAAGGCAGTGATTGCAAGAAAATACAATGCTCATACGCCCCGTTGTACGGGCAATCGAATGAACTTTTGTTGTAGCCACAACCATTACCAATTACCCGCAGTGGACATAAACCAGAGCAAACAGGTGAACCTGGGGGCGTTGAATGCGGTGGGTCTTTCAATGTCTTATCTTATCAGAGGAAGTCTATCAGTATGCCCTGCATAACAATCCAATCCAACCGAGTGGCGAAAGTAAAGAAAAGAAACGAAAATAACCGGGTGCAGTTCCGCCCAAATGTCTGGAGCTCTGGAAATCTAGAAATCTGGACCTGGGCTACCATAAATTTTGCACCCCCTACTTCTTTGCACCCACTTAGTCAATTTATTGCAATTATGTGTAAATTGAGGAACAAAGCGGAGACAGAACTACCACATTCCCCACTCTTATGGACTTCGTCCCCATCTCCATCTCTGCATCTCCACTCCCATTTCAATCAGCTCCCATTCTCGGATCCACTTGGTGTGGAAAGACGACGACCAGTGGCGATGCCAAGGGGAATTTGAGTATATTTCATTTTTGATTTGTATTGCTTTTCCCTATTGATGAGGAGTCGTTCAACTGAAGCTTTTACAATTTACTTATTTAAGAATTGAACGATTTATGGTCTCCACGTTTGAGTACCTAGTTGTTAAAAGGCTTTATTCAAAATATTACCAATTCTTTATTCAATTTGTGAAGCATTTTATTGAATTTGTATGAAAAAGTGTTCCTATTTCTTTTTAAAAATGTAAGCATATTTATAAATTTAAGACTTGTGTGTGCTTTAAGCTTAAGCTGTTGTATAAAGTCTTTATTGGAAATATTAAAATGAAATAAATTTAAATACTTTAGCTAAACAAATGATTTCCTAAAAAGTATTTTTAAAAAAATAATAACATTTTTAAGTTTTAGAATGGCAAAGTTCCGACAAAATCATAAATAACCAACTTATTTGCATATCTTATAAACTAAATTAGATATTCAAAGTTTCAATGCCAATAAATAAGGCATTTGTGTTTTCGATATTTGTAGTTTTATGCCCCAGCGGTCGAACAATACCTTTGAATTAACCCATTTATTTGGAGGCAAGCCTGTGTGGGAACACATATATCCTGGTTTTGTTCCTTGGACAAGGACAGTGCATAGTTCAATGGAGCTGCATATAAAAGAAGGACGAACTTAACTGGGCACCGCTAAAATATGTACATGATTCACGGACTTGTTTAGGACTGGACTGACTGTGCCATTGCCTTTGCCTTTGCCTTCATTTAAATTCATATAGGGCAGGGGAGATAGTGAGCTGGTGTAGTGTCCAGCTGAAAGCTGAAAGCCGAAGTTACACACGTCTCCGGCGCCAAAGGACCTGCTGTCCTGCCCTTCGCCTCCGCATTTTCCATCCTCCTTCTCCGGAAAATAAGGAGGAAAATACGTCAGCAGTGAGGGGCGGATGCCGCATCGGTTTCAATTTAATTAAATGTTTTGATGCATGACAGCACTGTGGAGCAGCAAACTGGACATACGGAGCATACGGCATGCGGCATTCACTTATTACTTATTCGCATTCGTTTAAAGATTCACGCCTGCCTGGATCTTTAAAGGCCTCTTTTTTGGGGGGGCCAACTAATGGCCTTCGGACGACTACTTAATCCTCCTGCTCCTGTGAAAGCAATTCGCGTTGAAAGGATTTCGGTTTGCTCATCTGACCGTTGGCAGGGGCTTTTGTGAAGATGCCAATGGACGCATCCATTTGCCCACCGAAACGGCCATTTATCCGGATCCAACCACATCCGACATCCCACATCCCACATACCACATCCCAAACAACCCACTGAAACCCGCAGCATTTTGCGGCATCACTAATCATAGTTGACATTAAATATTTAAGAGCCACAAAAGTTTTGCTCGCCTGTGATTGAGTTAGATGACTTTCGGCTCAGAGGACCAATTAAGTGGGCTGTTTGGCCAACGGCTTCACTTGAAACTGCTTCATTTCGATTTCGAATTAGAGAAACGGACACTTTAACTTAATTAATTTGCAATATTACAATTATTTTGCTCTCCATTAAAGGGGAAAATTATGTTATTATTTCACAAAGAAAATGCCCTTAGTGCTATCTTGCTTTGAGTTAATTTTTGAAGTGACTTGAAACTCAAGTACTTAATTTTATTAATTTCCTATGATTGAACACTGAATTCAATTTATAATTGAACCAACTTATTACCTTATATGAATTTATAATTTCGTTATTATTCATTTAAAATTTTAATAAAATTTTATTTAAAAATATTTTTTTTCACATTTTTTTCATCTTGTAATTCTTAATTTTATATTTATTAAGATTATAAAAATGTTTCTGTTTAGGAGTTTTTCACGCGGACCCACGGCGGTGATGTGGGTAATCACTTTCCACTCGGGTATAAATGAAAGGAAGTTAGGTATTCAAAAAGTATGCAACAAAAAATTGTTCTAATATCACCCCACAAGAAAATCCTAGATCCTACACTGTAGTCAGCATATTTTAAATTTTCATATTCGCCCTAAAATAAAATGGTTTGAAAGGCCCCCAAGGTTAAAATACTTTAAATCCCAAAATAAATACAAGTAAAGCACTTTGTTTATTTGCATTATAAACACAAGAAATGTGCACATGTGAGAGTACCCAAGGGATAACCCAATGCGAATTGTTTTTTTTTATTTTATCACACAGGATGTAAACGAAATGGTATATAATTTAAATAAATTATATTCCTTTGAGGGTTTTGAAAAAAAAACCCATAACAAATTCAACCAAATTAATTGCCATCCAAGAGATTTGCTTTTCCGGCGCGATTTCCCGAAAATCTGAGATCATCAGAGGTCCTCTTAATCGACGTAGTCAATTGGGCGTGATGATTTTTGGTTATCCGTTAACTATTTCTCGCTTGAATGAAATCGGGGAACTCGATGCTCAAATTGAGTGGAAAATCGGGGTGAAAACCGGGATGAGCTGCAGTTTGATCTTTCAAATTGGATTTAATCGCTTGATTAAGCGATTCAAAGTAATTACTTGTTAAGATAAAGTTTCCATCGGCAGCCAAAAGCTGTCCACAAATAGCACTTTTCTAATTACTTTGGCAACTTAAATTTGCATAAACTTTTCAATTCATCGGGACCCTAAACCAATTTCAGTTTTTGGGCCATAAGTAAACTTTGCAATTGAAACCCCCTCGAAAACATTGTTTGTGTAATATGGGAAAACAATAAAAACTCTGAATACTTAAGACTGCTTACCAGGAACTATGCTAAATACCCCCTTTTCACTTTTCACTGGGCCAACGGGGCGTATGAGCAATGTCAGCCAATTGCAGGCAGCGAAAAACAAAGAAATTTGTATTTAAAAATAAATTCCGCTTCGCGCTGCTCTGCGGTTTCAGTGTTTATGTTTATTAGTTTTAATCAAAACACCAATTTGTATATTCAATTTAACGACTAGTTTATCGTTTTTCGTGTTTTGTGTTTTTTTTTCTTGTTACGCGAAATTCAATTTGATTTTCAATCCACCGGGCGGAATCGAATTACGATAGGGATCGAATATGCCGGCGGCATTTTAGCCCAGCTCTAAGCTGATTTTCCATCATTTTTTTCGGAACACTTTCGGCCACCGGCGCTACGAAAGGAGAACTGAGAACCGAGAAGTGCCAGAAGTTTTCCAGACCCGTCGCTTTTTCCGTTCGAACCGTACGCGCGCGAGTCTGCCGTTGAACTGAACGGAAAATGGAAATGCCGCACTTTTCTGAGGCTGTGCGCGCTGATATGGCGGGTGTTATAATATAGGGGCTATGAAAGATGGGAGGGTTTTTTCCGGAGAAGGGGCGTTCTGTTGGGACCTTTGGGGACTCCAGGCCGCTTGTTGCATATGTTAGAACTTAACTCTAGGGACAGGGGCTCACATCACCCCTCTTGACTTTTTACCAGGCGAAAACAGAACCACATTTCATTTAAAAACCGTTGAAATCTCTGACTAAATCAAAATTATACCCGCCCAAATTCACCAGAGTTGCCGAGTTTTCCGTTTCTACGCCTGCGCTTTTGTATTTTTTCTCACCATTCCTTATTTCATTCGCTCTCTGTTGTCATACGGCCATTCGTAAACAATCCGGACTCCAGAGATTCCAACACGTGCAGGCCCCGGAAAAGTGGGGGATAGAGTAACAAACCTATATTGTATATCTCACAAGCGATAAGCACAAATAATAAACCATCATTGCGATTCACATACATAATTTTATTAAACGTTTTCGTATCATATTATTAAGGGGATTTTTTAAAAACACACTGAAATTATTTCATTGAATACTTAAAAATATTAATAACTATTATTATATTAAAAAATAATACGACAATTCTTCATAGAATGTTTTAAATAATTATATTATAATTTAATTTATTTTATTTTTTACTTTTGATTTTATTGATCAAAATACCTACTTATCTGAATCTAAATTAAATTTAAAAAAATTATTAGACAAAACCAATGAATGGCTTTACAGTGGAATGCGTATGTTTGTTGGTTTTTGGCCAAATGACTTGGCTCTTTCGCACCAGACAGCCGCAGGTGTTGGTGGCTGATCCGGCCAAATATGCCTTAAGTAAGCAATGGCAATGAATCTGGGATTCTGTGAGATTCCCTGGCACCAGATTCTGACATCTTAATTTGCTGGCGGAGATTGCAATACCGCAACTTCATTCGCCACAAATGCATCAATGTCCAATCAATCACTCCATTTGACTGCAACAAACGTGCATTGGTCAATTACATTTATTGACGCGAGTTTTGGAGGTTATTGATGATAGAACTGAGTTTTTCCATTGCATAATAAATTTTTATATGCCAAAGAAACTACTTTTAAAATGTGTAATAAATAAAATAAACAACAATTTAAGTTACTAATAAATCAAATAATGAAATCATTAATTAAAATAATTAATATAATTAAATCACCCATATTTTTATCGGTGTCATTTAGGTAATGTAAAGACTTTATTTTTATAATTTTTGTGGAAAAATGTAAAATCAAACGAAAATGTATATTTATTTATCATAAAATCAAAATGAATTACTTATTATTATATTTTTAAGGAAAGTGGAGTTACAATTATGTTTAAGTTATTATCTTAGTGATAAACAATTAAAGCATCCCTGTTTTCGGAGGTATTTTAAGTTTTAAACCGAAACATCATTTAATTTCCTTTATCTCTGCCACCCATGCAGTCCATTGAACACATCCATAATGATTATGATGGACTTATTGGGCGGTGGTATGGGGGTCGAAATAGGACTTAGCCGCCGCGTACGCAGTTTGCAGTTTGTCCACTGTCCAATATCCCGAGCAGCTGGGCATCATTAACTATCTGCGAGGAACGCTCGTTACCAGTGCTTTGCCCTGCTGATGACCCTATTTAATCAACGCTAAGACCGTCTCGTCCTGCACCTCATCATCGTCCTGGCCGTCCTCATCTTTCCCGGGCAAAATGATAATTTGTTTGTCAACATTATGCTGGCAGAATGTATATTTGGCTAAATACCTAAAATACCAGCCCGCCGACAGCATGTGACAAGTGGTTTGATTGATGACCACGGCTGTCGGGTTCTGCACGGCCGCTGAAAATTTAATTTTCCTTTTCCCCAGGCTATCTTGTTGCGTATCCCGCTGCTTTTAAGTGCATGTCATTTGGTGTCGTTGTAAATGTGATGGATAAATTGGAAAAACCGCTGGTCTCTAGGAGGGTCAGCTGAAATGAACACTGAAGGTGGAGTCGAATTCGGAGAAAGTAATGCTAAACCAGCTTTTAAAATCTGTTTGTAAGGCTAAGGAGAGAAATGATGAGCTAATATTTTATGTTCATTTTGATAACCTATTTTTGTAAGACCTTAAACAGGATTCCTACATATGTAGGTTAAGTAAGCAAAAATGTAGTTAAACTTATTAATTAAAAAGGCAATTAAAAACAATCAATGTATTTTTCTTTTAAAAATATTCAGTCCTAAAAGTATCTATTTTGTGGAAAATATTTGGCAGCATAATTTTAGACTCCTTTAGAAGTGATCAAAAACTCTTTCCCATTCGTATAATAATATCTAGCTGGTACATATTCAAATTATTGCGCATATTGACCCTACAAAGCTATTGATTGTTTGTCAGGTAGCATACATAGTTATTTTTCCCTCCGGGCACTTAATTAAATTTCAATGAAATTTCGAGAGTTCGTGTTACCCATAGTTGTGTCAATGCCCCATAAAATATGCATTCTAATATACTGCCACGCCCACCGCCCACGCCCACTTGGCCCGCCGCATCTGCGGTTTTCGGCCAGCTTATGCATGAGTGCTGCCCGGCAATTAGCGAATGCCGCGATGGCCAGCGAAATGGTCAGCACACAGGAGGCTTTCAAATTGGATTTTGACCCGGCTATGTGAAACATTCGGTTGTTTTAATTTCCACTTAGGCAGCCACATTTTCCCAATTACCCTTTGCTCTGCTACCGAAAAGAAAGCCACAAGTCCGTGGAAAAAGTGAAAGAATTTGCGAAATGCTTTGCATACTTTCAGTTGCGAAACGCGCGTCCTGAAGAAGGGACCTTCAGCATCCAAGGTCGGGCCATAAAATTTCATTGGGCTCAGGTGTCACTTGGCCAAGTCACCGCCCACTCAAAATTTATGGCCAACAAAATGCAAACATAAGTTTCATAAAGCCAAAAACTTTATTAAAATATGCGACGAGCGGCGGTGGTGCACGGTTTTTTCTGCCACTGCTTCATTAGGCCAAGTTAAATCTCCATAAGGCACAGAGAGCTGAGCTGCTTTTCTTTGTTTTCCCTTCGCTTTTTGCTACATTAGACAGCTGCTCGTAAAGGAGAAAAACCGACGGGAAACCCACGAAAGAGCAGCAAATCAACGACAAAATGGGGAAAACCTGGAGCCCAAACTTTTTCGACTGGCATGTGTGCGCGGGATCCGATGAAATATGAAGGTATCGCCATCTAGGTAGTCCATTTCTCATCATCTCTCTGCATGCACGAGTCCACCAAATTGAAAGTTGAGTCATAACACTCAAAAATAAAGTTTCTTAACGAAATATGAACAACTCTAAACTGGAAAAAATAATAATTGAATCTGTAAAAAAAATAATATTAATATTGTGATTGATAAAACTAGCCCATAAAAATACTAAAATTTTGTAAGTATTTAGAATTTTTAAAAAAGTATGCAATTTTAACAACAAGTGTCATAGAAGTGGTATACTTTTAACTTATATATTTTTTTAGTTTTAAATCTTTTAAGACCTTTTGGAGCAGCTCCGAGTATTTAATGTGTAAACCAATATTCGCCACATTTTCCTGCCCGATTCGATTCCTGAATCAATGTTAATTATGCGTCTGGCTGTGCGTTGGATTTGTCATCCGGCCCGAAAGCACTTTCACTTGTTGCTCCGCTGGACGACCGTTTCGTTTCCAATCCAACGGCATCCGAACTTTGAACCCTTAAATCATACAAATGCCAGACACACTCGACTTTAAACTGCCGCCATTTATCAAGGACCCCGCCAGCTAAGCATCTAATCAACATCCCAAGGACCATGTGCCAGCCCGCCGAATCAATGCGAATTGGCTTCAGCCTGAGCCGCTGGCAACTGGGACTACACTGCAATCAGTGTTTATAAGGTCAAAGAAAATTTATAACAAATTATTAACTAAATTAAAAATATCTCTAAAACATAACCACATTATTTTACTTTCTTCATAAGAGTTAATATAACTTTGTAAACGATATCTTATCACAACTTCCTTCTTTCTGTGCATCCGCGAACATCCCCGAAGAACCAACACCTGATGTAGTCAAAGTTTATGTAAACTCCATGTTTTCCAAGTGTAATCCCTGGAGTTTTGGTTTCGGGGGAAAGGACACCTACCTGCAGACTGGCGCTCGTTATTTGCATGCATGTTCACAAATTGAAGTGCAAAGTTTCGGAATGCGAAACAGCAGTTCGTCAGGCGGTGATTGGGAATGGGAGTTCCAGAGGAAAAAGGAGAACAATACTACAGTCTAAATTCTATAAACACTGCCCTATACAAATCTAAGAATATGAAATATATTTTCACGGTGATTAAACGTATTCTATACAATATTTTACATGATCCTTCTATTGAGATCTACAGCCTCTAAAATTTGTTTTTGGTTAAATAATTGGTTCTGCTGTAAATATTGTTGCCTACTTCTAGATACCTACCTTTAGAAGTGACTTAAGATTTCTGATTTTATAGGTTCAGTCATCTAGTAAAACAGAAAGAAATTTCTTAAGACATTTACATCTGTTTCTAAAATATACTGATACCCAAAAAGTTCCATTTATCAAAGACACTCTGTGTATGTAAAACACAGCTAGCACTAGACTTATTGTTGCGAAAAACTTTGATTTGAGTTTAGATTGTGTGCTGAAAAGGAGGCACCGTTGGGGCCTCCAACTTGAGTGCAATTCGAGTCCCTGTTCCTCTGTCTGCGGTGTATGTAATCTGGTAAAGAGAATCGTGCTTAAAGGTAATCCCAAAACAAGCTAAACTTTGTTTACAACATCAGTTAAGCCTGAAATGTACCCTTTTTGGCTTTCTTCTTTATTGGTCCTTGTTTAGATTTGAATTTAATTTAACTGCTGGGTGCACTTAACTAAGCACTTGACCCATTTAA